CAGAGCAGCAACTTATATAGTTTTGTTTTAATGGAATTTATAAATATAGGAATATTTGAAAAAAAATAAAAATTATTTAAGCAAGGATATAAAAATAGCTTTTTTCTCACTGAAATATTTTTTTAAAATATTTTTTAAATAAAAAAAAATCTTTAATACTGATCCGCAAAAGAAAATTTTAAATTCTTGCATTTTGCTGATAGGTTAGGTTATTATTTGTAGTCATTATTATTGATTTTTTTTTGTTGATAGGATTTGTTGTTGCTGTTATTGTTTATTTATTAAATAGATTTGGTTTTTATTGTTATTGTTTTATTTGTTGTTATCGATATGCCAGAAAACTTAATATATTTTTTATTTTATTTTATATTGGTTCATTTTGGTTATATTCAAATATTTATGTTATTGTTATATAGTTGTTGTTGCTGTTGTTGTAAAGAAAAACTATTTGTATTGATTGATTATTTAACATTGTAACTATTTTATTATTCATATGTATTATTTTATTTCATTGGGGGTTAGTGGTTATGGTATATTGGGTGGTGGGGGAACAGAATGGAAATGAAACAAAAATTAAAAAATATTAATTATTTTAATACAAATCGATGAAAATAATCGACCATTTTTTATCCATAAGGAAAAAATCGATAAACATATTTTTTAAAATAATCGATAAAAATATTTTTTTAATAATCGATAAAGTTTTTTTTTTTTTTAAATAATCGATAAAAATATTTGTAAACTTTATAGATAACGAAGTTGTGGTAAAGAAATTATATCGATAACATGTCTTTTCTAATGAAAAAAATATCGATAACAGGGCTTTTGTAAAGAAAAATTATCGATAACAGGGCTTTTGTAAAGAAAAATTATCGATAACAAGGCTTTTGCAAGGAAAAACTATTGAAAACTACTTTTTTGTAATCGATAATTTTTTTTCTAAATAATCGATAAAAATATTTTAAAATTTTTATCGATAACGAAGTTGTGGGGAAGTAATTATATCGATTACATTTTTTTTCTAATGAAATATCATCGATAACTAGCCATTTGTAATGAAAAATTGTCGATAACAAGGCTTTTGTAAAGGAAAATTATCGATAACAAGGTTTTTGTAAAGAAAAATTATCGATAACAAGCCATTTGTAATGAAAAATTGTCGATAACAAGGCTTTTGTTAAGGAAAATTATCGATAACAAGGTTTTTGTAAAGAAAAATTATCGATAACAAGCCATTTGTAATGAAAAATTGTCGCTAACAAGGTTTTTGTAAAGGAAAATTATCGATAACAAGGTTTTTGTAAAGAAAAATAGTCGATAACAAGGCTTTTGTAAAGAAAAATTATCGATAAAAAGGTTTTTGTAAAGAAAAATTATCGATAACCAGGTTTTTGTAAAGAAAAATTATGGATAACAAGGTTATTGTAGAGAAAAATTATCGAAAACAAGGCTTTTCCAATGAAAAATTGTCGATAACAAGGATTTTGTAAAGAAAAATTATCGATAACAAGGCTTTTGTAAAGTAAAATTAAAGATAATAAAGCTTTTGTAAAAAAAAATATCGATAACAAGGTTTTTGTAAAGAAAAATGATCGATCGTAAAGAAAAATATGTCGATTATAAGGGTTTCCTTAAGAAAAGTTATCGATCTTTCCTAAGAAAAGTAGTTGTTAACAATGTTATCCATAACAAGATGTGCTTTAGTACTGTTATTGATAACAATAGTTTCTCTAAGAAAAGTTATCGATAACTACGTTTTTGTAAAGAAAATTATGTCAATTGTAAGGGGTTTACTTAAAAAAGCTTATCGATAATAGAAATTTTCTTAAGAAAAGCTATCGATAACAGTATTTTCCCCCAGAAAAGTTGCCGATAACAATATCTTTTCTAAGAAAAATGATCGTTAACAATGTTTTCCCTATGCGAAGTTATCAAAAACAATATGTCTTTACTAAACGTTATTGATAACAATATTTTCTCTAAGAAAATTTATCGATAACTAGGTTTTTGTAAAGAAAATTTTTCGTTAATTGATAATTTTCAAAGAAAAACAATCCATAACAGATTATTTATTAAAAAAAACTTATCGATAACAAGTATATTCTATAGAATATGTATCAATTACAAGATTTTTGCAAACAAAAATTATCGATAACAAGATTTTTGCCAACAAAAATGATCGATAACAAGATTTTTGCAAACAAAAATTACCGATAACAAAATTTCTCCAACAAAAATATATCGATAACAAGGATTTTCTAAAGAAATCGACAGTAAAGTAAATTTAACGATATATTTATATAGAAAATTGATCAATAAGACCTTTCTTGTGAAGTGCAATTATCGATAACATGTATATTCTAAATAAAAACTATCGCGACAATAAGGAACGTTAACGATAACATAGTTTTTCTTAAGAAAAGTTATCGATAATAAATGTTTTAGAAAGAAACATAATCGATAACAAGTTTTATCTCAAGAAAATTCATCGATAACAATGATTTTATAAAGGAATGTTATCGATAGCAATGGTATTCTAAAAGAAAAATTATAGATAATTGTTTTGGTTTATAGAAAAGTTATCGATAATTGTTTTTCTGTATAGAAATGTAATCGATATTAGCTTTAATGTATAGAAAAATTATCGATAACAACATTTCTGTATAAAAAAGTTGTCGATAATAGCTTTTCTGCATAGAAAAGTTATCGATAATAGCTTTTCTGCATAGAAAAGATATCGATAATAGCTTTTCTGCATAGAAAAGTTATCGATAATAGCTTTTCTGCATAGAAAAGATATCGATAATTACCTTTCTGTATAGAAAAGCTATCGATAATAATTTTTTTGTATAGAAAAGTTATCGATAATAATTTTTTGTATAGAAAAGCTATCGATAATAGCGATAATATATTTTCTGTGTAGAAAAGTTATCGATAATAACTTTTCTGTATAGAAAAGTTATCGATAATAACCTTTCTGCATAGAAAAGTTATCGATAATTGCTTTTTTGTATAGAAAACTTCTTAAATAACCATATTTTTGGATAGTAAATTCATTGATAATAAAGAGATAATACATAGAAAATGAATCAACATTTTTATAGAAAAATTATTTTTTTTTGTTTCATTCCCATTGTATTCCCCGCACCTCAAAATTATGATACGGCATATATAGATAGATAGAGAAGGAGGAAGAAGAAGAATTTAAAAAAGAAGCGTTATTGTGTGTTTATTTTTATTTTTTTTGTATATATAATTCCGTATTATTGTAGCGTCGTGATATTCGGCCACAGGGTAGAGATGGGGGCGAGTTGGAGAAGTATAAAAAGCGATTTTATTTACTATTTTTTACGATTTTCCAGTACAAAAAAAATCGTTGTAAATTGGTGTTAAGATTTTGTGGTGACCGTTGATTTGTCATCTCTCTCTTTTTCTTTCTCTCTCTATATATATAAATATATGTATGTACGTATATAAAGAAGAAGTATTTTGCGGTTTTTTAGTTTATAATTTAGTTTTCAGTTTTCTTTGTTTTTTATTTTTATTTTTTGTATTTTATTAATATTAGAAATATTTGCTTGTATTATAAATATGTTGTTGTTTTATTTTTAATTTGTTTCATTTATATGTATAAAAAAAGAGATTATTATTTGGTAATGTTGTTGTTGTTGATTTTTTCTTTCTTTCCTTTTTTCAATGAGATTGGCTTTTCTTATGCGCATTAGTTTCCCATGTTCGGCGATTTGGGGTTTTCTTGAAATTAAATAGTTGAGTAAATTTTTGAGTAAGAGCAGCGAGCAGGAGGAAACTAAGAAATGAGTTTGGAGAGCTTAGGATTAGTTCCATTTTATTTCAATTGTATATAGCAACCATATTATCATCTATGTTCAGATCAATACTAGGGGGTAGGTTGGGATAGATAGAGAGTAAAAATGTCTTTGTTTTTTCTTTTTCATCTTCTTCATGTTTCAAATATATCTTTTGTGTGGTTGTATTTGTGGATTTCCATAGTGTTGTCTTTACGTTTACGAGTTGAGTTGCATGTTGGGTGTGTGTTGTTGTTGTTCGCTGGTGTTTGTTGTTGTTGTTCGTTAACTTCTTAACTAATCATTTCACGATATTTGATTTTATGTTTCGTTAGCATATCGGTAACAGTAACTAATTTCTTAATTGAGAGTATATTCGATAATTCTTGCAATTCCGGTAAATATGAAACACATATGTGATGTAGGGTAGCCAGTTCACGACCTGAAAGGAAGAGAAAAAAAATTATTGATTTGTAATTTAAACAAAAATATATTTCAAAAACTTACCCGTATCCTGTGGAGATTGATTAGAGCTTTGTTCGGAATTCCAGCCGGGCGGTGGATTAGGATCTGTCACCATAGATAATTGATCGAGAAAGACAATCATGCGTTCTTTGTTTTTGAGTATAAACGGATTGACAACCTCCATGTATTGTTCCTGGAAAGGGAAAGAATGAAAAAAAATAAAAACTTATCGATAACAATTTTTTTCAAAAAAAAAAATATATATATATATATATATATATACCTATATTAAAAAAAGTCAATAACAATTTTAAAAAATTGTCGATAACAAACTATCTATAAAGAATATATATCGATAACAGATATACTAGTGATAAAAGTTATTGATAATATGTTTTCTATATGGATAAGTTATCGATAATAGGTTTTATATATCGAAAATTTATCGCTAATAAATTTTATATATAGATAAGTTATCGATAACATTTTTTCTACAATAAAAATTTATCGATAACCAATTTTCTACAAAGAAAAGTTGTCGATAACAAATTTTCTACAAAGAAAAGTTATCGATAATATATTTTCTATATCGATAAGAAATCAAGAATAGGTTTTCTGTTTTTAAAGATTATCGATAATAGGTTTTCTATATAGAAAAGTTATCGATAACAGGTTTTCTATATAGAAAAATTATCGATAATAAATTTTCTGTATAGAAAAGTTATCGATACTATGTTTGCGATATAGAAAAGCTATCGATAATAGATTTTCTATATAGAAAAATTATCGAAAATAGGTTTGCGATATAGAAAAGTTACCGATAATAGATTTTCTATATAGAAAAGTTATCGATAATATGTTTTCCATAGTTATCGATACTAGGTTTTCTATATAGATAATTTATCGATGATTGATTTTCTATAAACGAAAGTTATCATAAAAAAGTTTTCTATAGAGAAAAGTTGATGAAAATGGGGTTTCTATTAAAATTTATCGATAATAGGTTTTATATCGAAGTATTGTCGATAACAGATTTTCTATATAGAAAAGTTAACGATAATACATTTTCTATAAAGAAAAGTTATCGATAATAGCTTTTCTATATTGTAAAACTATCGATAACAGATTTTCTACATAGAAAAGATATCGACAATAGGTCTTCCGTGTAGAAAAATCATCGATAATTGGTTTTCTATATAGAAAAATTATCGATAATAGGTTTGCGATATAGAAAAGCTATCGATAATAGATTTTCTATATAGAAAAGATATCGATAATAGGTTTTCTATATAGAAAAGTTATCGATAATAGGTTTTCTATCGATAAAAAGTTTTCTATAGAGAAAAGTTGATGAAAATGGGGTTTCTATTAAAATTTTCTATATAGAAAAGTTAGCGATAATACATTTTCTAAAAAGAAAAGTTATCGATAATAGCCTTTCTATATAGAAAAGATATCGAAAATACGCCTTTCGCATAGAAAAGTTTTCGATAATTGGTTTTCTATATAGAAGAGTTATCGATAATAGGTTTTCTTTACAGAAAAGTTATCGATAACAGATTTTCTATAAAGGAAAGTTATCTATAGTACATTTTCATATAGAAAAGTTATCGATAATAGAATTTCTTACAGAAAAGACATCGATAAAAGATTTCCTATACACAAAAGTTATCGATAATAGATTTTCTATATAGAAAAGTTATCAATAATATGTTTTCTATATAGAAAAGTTATCAATAATAGGTTTTCTATATAGAAAAAATTTTCGATATAGAAAACCAATTATCGATAATTGGTTTTCTATATCGAAAATTTTTAGATAATAAGTTTTCTATACAGAATAGTTATCGATAATAAGTTTTCTGTACAGAAACGTTATCGATTACAGACTTTCTATGTCTAAAAGTTATCGATAATAGGTTTTCTATATAGAAAATTTATCGACAATAAATTTTCTACACTGAAATGTCATCGATAAAGGATTTTCTATATAGAAAAGTTATCAATAATCGATTTTCTGTATAAAAACGTTATCGATAATAGCATTTCCGCATAAAAAATGTATCGATAATAAAAATTTCGGATAAAAAACTTATCGATAATATATTTTTCGTATAGAAATTTTATCGATAATAACGTTTCCATATAGACATGTTGTCGACAGTAACATTTCCGCAAAGAAAAGTTATCGATAGTTACTTTTTTAAACGGAAAATTGATCGATAACAGTTTTTCCGTTAAGAAAAGTTATCGATAATAAATATTCCATATAGAAATGTTATCGATAATAACTTTTCCGTATAGAAAGTTACTTAATTTTCCATATGGAGAATCGATCGATAATAGCTTTTCTGTTTAGAAAAGTTATCGATAACAACTTTTCTGTATAGAAAAGTGATCGATAATAAATTTTATGCTAAGAAAAGTTATCGATAATAAATTTTGTGGAAAGAACAGTTATCGAAAATAAGATTTCTGCATATAAAAGTAATCGATAACAACCTTTCCGTATAGAATAGTTGTCGATAATGACTTTTCTATTATCGATAAAAGTTTTTCCGTAAAGAAAATGTATCGATAATAACTTTTCTGTAAAGAAAAGTTATCGATAATACCATTTCCATACAGAAATGCTATCGATAATAATATTTCTTTAGAGAAAATCGATCGATAATAACATTTTTGAGTAGAAAAGTTATCGATAATGACTTTTCCGTATAAGAAATTTATCGATAATAAATTTTTCATACAGAAAAATTATCGAAAATAACTTCTGCGTATAGAAAGTTTATCGAGTTTTCTATATAGAGAAATTATCGATAATTACTTTTCCGTTAAGAAAATTTATCGATAATAATATTTCCGTAAAGAGAAGTCGTCGATAACAGCTTCTTCGTATAAAAAAGTTAACGATAATGAAAATTCCGTGTAGAAAAGTTCTCGATAACGACTTTTCCATATACAAATGTCATCAATAATAAGTTTTCCGTGCCAAATACTTGTCGATAACTTTCTCATAGAAAAAAAGTTATCGATAATAAATTTTCGATAGGCATTTCAATTTTGAAAACATATCCCATTGGTGTCCCACAACTCACCTTCCCTCCAAATTCAATTAAATTCGCCAAATTCTGCAAACACTTCGCCACCATGACCAGGGAACGTGTGGCCGCTGTCGGCGGGGTCTCACTAACCAAACCAAATTGACGTGGATTCAGCAAGGATGGGCAGAGCAGACGCAGGAATATAAATCCCGATACGACACGTGTTCGCACCAAACGTTCCGTTGGCCATTTGGCCACAACGGCCTTTTGTAGACAATTACAAATGTAACGCACCGAACGAGGGCAGGCCTCGGGCGAGGTGAATATCGAATGGGTGACCAAATCGAGAATTTGCAAAAGGAACTCAGCATTGGAGCAGGCATCATCGTTCACGTCCATTTTGGTGGGATTCAATTCGGCCGATTGTTTGCTGTCCAAAATGCGTTGAATCGTCTCGGAGACGGCAGCCTGCAAGAATCCGGTGCACTCGGTGCGCATATACAAATCCATGAGAGTGGTGGCCAAACTGGCACCTCTAAATAGGGTGGTCGTCTCATTTTCACGGGCAATTTCGGCTTGGCAGAGGACTCGTATCAGTTCGGTTTCACGTTTTTCATGGCGGAATACACGCAGAAGGGCAGTGGCCAGGGGGACACGATCATTGTGACAGAGTTCGGCCAAGGCTTTGACGGAATAGAGTTCGGGTTCGAGCAGAAGCTGCTGTAGAGGGCTGTATTCTTCACATGGCATAATGAGATCATCGAGATAACGCATGCGGAGGCGCAGAGAGCCCCATTCACCCATGGGTGTCATGCCGGTTAGCTGATACCATTCTTCGGTCTCCTGGCCGTTTTTGAGGCTGGCCAGATCGATGGTGAGTTCGGCCACTTCACTGTCCTTGCCACGTTTGCCGCGTGAGACCAGGGTTATGGTGAGCGAGACTACATCTGGGGGTACGTCACTGGGGGAGAGAGAGAGAGGAGATATTAGTTAGGATTCTAAAAGAGGGTTTAAAGGTAGCTCAACTTACTCCAAAACAAACTCCTCCTCCCAAACTGGATCCGGGGCAATCTTCACCTTGGTCTTGCCCACCTTGACCTGATTCAGGGAAATACTACAATAGGGATGTGGCACTAGCTTAAATGGCAGTCTATGAGCTTCGAGTATGTGCAGATTGAGGCAGCGCAGCTCCCTTAGACGTGGCACCTTCTTCTGGGCCTTGCTCAGCTGTGAGGCACACTGGGCCTTCAGGGCATTTATCCACTCGGTGTAGCTTTCTTGACTAGGGGCACACAAATATGTCACGGTGGCCAGACAGGGCAAGGCCCTCTCGACAATTTGAAAGCAATAGGGACGCTCCCACAGAGAATCGTGGCACTGATAGAGATAGGCGCAGGACAAATCGATAAGTCCCTTGGGTTTAGTCTTTTTCGGATTGTCATAGAAGCACAGATGGGTTTCGCTGCATTCGCTGATCAGGGCAAAGTAGAGCTGTTTCCACTTGGCCGTCTTGTCCGACTTCTTGTTCAAGTGGCCGTGATGTTTGATGCCCTTGATCTTCTTGAGGCCGATTTGATCGCGGCACTCCCTCAGGGTGGCATAGATCTTCTCGGCAGCCTTCTCCACAACATACTGTTGGCTATATTCCGGTTGGGTGCCATTCACCACCGGATGGCTGAGGCAGTGACCCTCCACAATTTGTTCCTTGCGATAGCGATTGATCACGGCATCCAGGCATTCGAAGGTCCGGCCACCCATCAAATAGCGGACACCCTTCTTTTCTATGCGGAACCGCTGGATCTGATTGTTGATATGGAAGAACAGAGAATAGTCACCCGGTGAATTGTCACTGGGACGGACTAGGAAACTACCAGGACCAGCTGGAAAGAAAAATAAAAAACCAAAATTAGTTCCATCCTCCCTTATCCTCCTCACCCCCAACTCACCCTTAACTAACATATCAACCGCTTCGTTTTTCGTACAATTCGGATGAAACCATGGAAATACTGTATTTGGATCTATGGCCGGATCTAAATCCTCCACCAGTTCACGAAAGATCATACCCTGTTCGCCGGTCCGATGAGCCGTAACCCACAACCAACCATCACCCATATCATTGTGCACAAAGAAAATATCGCCCTTTTGGAAACTCAATTCATCCGTGTCGGGCATTTTCGTGTAGGGCAGTATCGCCACGACTCGTTTCTTATCGTTAACTGGTTCGGGTGGTGGTACCGGTATCACGAGTCGTTCACGTTTCAATAAATCACTGCATGAGGTATAGTAACCGACTAAATCACTCAGGGAGATGAATTGACGACCGCCAATGTAGAAGTCACCACAAACGGCTGTGATACTGGAAATGGGAAAAAAATATCGATAATATGGGAAAATCGATAAAAATAAATTTAGGTTTAAAACTTACCGAAAATGATTAATGCCAGTGCGACCCAAATAGCTGAGCACATAGGAGCCAGGTTTGCGATCACTTTCACGAACTAGAGGGGGAGAGAAAAGGAAACGTTAAAAATGAAAAATATCGAAATTTATTATCGATTATTACAGAAAACTTAATATCGATCATTTTTCTTCGCAGAAAAGTTATTATCGATAACTTTTCTCATTGGAAAAGTTACTATCGACAACTTTTCTCTTTAGATATGTTATTATCGATAACTATTCTCTACAGAAAAGTTATTATCGATAACGTTTCTCTATAGAAAATCCATTATACATCAATTTTCTATGGACAAAATAATTATCGATAACTTTTGTCGAGAGAAAAGTTATTATCGATAAGTTTTCTTTATAGAAATGTTATAATCGACAACTTTTCTTTATAGAAAATTTATTATCGATAACTTTTCTTTATAGAAAAGTTATTATCGATAACTTTCCTCTATAGAAAATATATTATCGATCATTTTTTCTCTAAGAAAAGATATTATCGATAATGTTTCTCTATAGAAAACTTATTATCGATAACTTTTCATAAGAAAAATGTTATTATCGATAACTTTTCTTTATGGAAAAGGTATTATCGATAACGTTTCTCTATAGAACATTTTTTATCGATAACGGATCTCTATAGAAAATTTTTTATCGATAGCTTTTCTGTACAAAAAGTTGTTATCGACAACTTTTCTGTACAAAAAAATTATTATCGATAACTATTCTGTAGAAAAAAGTTATTATCGATAATTTTTCTGGCCCGAAAAATTATTATCGAAAACTTTTAGTTCCAAATAGTTGTTATCGGTAGTTTTTCTTTTTAAAAATGTTGTTATCGATAACTTTTCTTTTTAGAGAACTTGTTATCGAAAATGTTTCTTTGCGAAAACATTGTTATCGATAACATTTCATGTTAAAAACTTCGTAAAAAATAATTTTTCTTCATAAAAACCATGTTATCGATAATTTTGCACTACAGAAAATTTGTTTTCGTATAAGTTTCTCTTTAAAAATTGGGTTATGGATAACTATTATGTAAAGAAAGCTATTGTCTATAACTTTTAGTTTTTAAAATTTTTCTCTTTACAACGTAGTTATCGATATCTTATATTCTTGTTATCGAATACTTTTCTTTATAAATACATAGTTATCGATAACATTTCTTTGCAAAAACCTCGTCATCGACAATTTTTCTTTATAAAAACAATGTTATCGATATGTTTGGACTACACAAAATTTGTTATCGAATAAGCTTCTCTTTAAAAAGTTGGATGTCGATAACTTTTCTGTACAAGATAGCTGTTATCGATAACTTTTAGTTTCTACAAAACTGTTATCGGTAGTTTTTCTTTTGTTATCGATAAGTTATCTTTTTAAAAAACTTGTTACCGGTTGCTTTTCTTTATTAAAACATTCTTATCGATCATATATTTCTTTAGAAACCATGGTATCGATACATTTTTTCTCTGATAACTATGTTATCGATAGTTTTGCATCACGAAAAATTTGTTATCGATTACATTTCTTTTTAAAAACTTGGATATCGATAACTGTTATGCACAAAAAAGTTGTTATCGATCACTTTTCTGTATAAGTGAGCTATTATCGATAACTTTTAGTTGCTTAAATGTTGTTATCGGTAGTTTTTCTCTTTAAAAATGTTGTTATCGATAATTTTTCTTTTAAGAGACTTTGTTATCGATGAATTTTCTCTACAAAAACATTGTTATCAGAAACATGTATCTTTAGAAACCTTGTTATCGTTAACTTTTCTCTTTAGAAAAGTAGTTATCGATAATTTTTCACCACACAAAATTTGTATTCGATTAATTTTCTCATTACATATATGGTTATCGATAAGTTTTCTTTACAAAAAAGGAATTGTCGATAACTTTTCTGTATAAGAAATCTATTATCGATAACTTTTAGCTTTTAAAAAGTTGTTATCGATAGTTTTTCTCTTTAAAACGTTATTATCGATAAGTAATATTTTTTTTTAAAAAAAACATTGTTATCGATGCATTTGCTCTATAAAAACATTGTTATCGGAAATATTTATGTTCAGAAACCTTGTTATCGATAACTTTTCTCTTTAGAAAAGTGGTTATCGATAACTGTTTTCTTTAAAAAAAGTAGTTATCGATAACTTTTCTGGAGAAAATATTAGTTATCGATAGTGTTTTTCTGTAGAAAATGCATTACCGATTACTTTTATCTATAAAAAATTTTATTATCGTTTGCTTTTCCTTGTTAAAATTTTGTTATCGATAAATTTTCTCTTTGGAAACCTTATTTATGTTATGTTTCCTATTAGAAAATTGTATTTCAAACATTTTACATGGAATTATTTCCCATTTGAATTTTTTCAAAAAAAATTTTTTTTTGCTTTCTCAAGAATTTCAAAACTCATTTTCATCCTCCACAACTTCATTTTTTTTTTTTTTTTGTTCATCTTCATTTCAACACTTACCCAAATAGCTGCCCAGCTTGCTGCTTCCACGTAAACGTGATTCAGCCGAATAGCGATCCAAGCGTCCATGATACCATTCACTTTCGGGTGGCGCTATAATGGCAGGTCGTTCGCCTACCAATTGCCAAGCGATTCCGGGAAACCAAACGAAAATTTTCACAGCGCACAGCCAACGCAGCGAGGGATAGCGAAGAAGACACCAGTCGAAGAAGTTGTGAAATTTTTGGGAAAATTGTTGAGTGTTGATGAGATGATGGTGCCAAAGTGACGACCAAGACGACGACCGCGACAACAACATCAGCAGCACAAACAGCACAAGGGAGAGAAGGGAAGCAATTAGAATCGTGGTAAATGACAATGTATTAAAAACTATAAATTAAATTAATTAAGGGGAAAAATTAATAAAAAAAATAAATAAATAATTAAAGAAAAAATTATTTAAAAAAAATAGAGAAATAGAAAAAATTCGATTGGAAAGATATTGCAATATTTTTTGAGAAAAAAAAATGTGATTCATTTTTTTCCATATTTTTTGAATATTTCAGCATTACTCAGAATTGCCAAAATTGTCGGAAGAAAGAAATAAAAATTATGTCTTCCTTCAAAAGAAAAAAATGTTGGTTAGCAAGAATTATGTCTGGGCCAGTTTGGGCCCCACCAAGTTTCTGCTTACACCAATTTTTTATGCGGGTATGAATGACTGGCTGCCTGACCATCTATCTCCCCCCGTATACCCCTACCTCTGTCCCCCTAAAATTCCCTTTTTTGTGTTGGTTTGCCGAAAATGGCCATATGAGAAATTTTGCCAACCACCACCACCGCCTATTTGCAGCAAAATGTGGCTTCACCACCACGTCATTGTCATCTCCACCACTTTTACTCACACTTATGACCACAATAGTTTTGAGGAACAACAACAACAAAAAGGCAACAAGCCATAATTTATGGTAACCTAAACAGAAAAAAACAACAACAACAAAAAGTGGCAGCAGGTGTTTCACGTTCTTTCTTCTTTCTTTTTGAAGGAAAAAAAAATACAAAAAAAAAATTGAGGAACCAAAAAAAGATCCGATAAAAAGACAAAGGAGAGGAAACGGGAAACCAATTTATCGGACTTAATAATTAGCCTAAAAGGGGTGGGGAAATGACTACCAGAAATGGGAATAAACGAAAGGTGATTTAGAACGTTGTAGAGACTGATATACCAAAAAATTAATAAAAAATCGATAAATCCGAATATCGAAAAATTTTTGGAAATGAAAATAAAATTATCGATAAAAAATTTTTATCGATAAAACATTTTTTTCAAAAAAAAACTTATAGTCGATAATTATCGATAACACATTGTTTCAAAAAAAAAACGTTTTATCGATAATTATCGAAAAATTTTTAATGGTAATTTTAAATAATCAATAATTTGTCTACAGAAAAAATGTTATCGATAGCACATTTTTTCAAAAAAAAGTAAAATCGATAAATATCGGTAAACATTGTTTCAAAAAACGTACAATCAATATTAACGATAACACATTTGTTTCAAAAAACATATAACCGATAATTTTCGACAATTTTTTTAATTGTAATTTTAAATAATTGATAATTTCTCTACAGATAATTTGTTATCGACAACATATTTTTTTTTTTCAAAAAACGTGTAATCGATAATTATCGATAACACATTATTTCAAAAAAAAAACTTATAATCGATAACATAGTGTATCAAAAAACGTATAATCGATGATTATGGATTTTTTTAAATTTTAAATAATCGATAATTATCGACCATATTTTCCATAAATAAAATTATTATCTATCATCCCCAAATAAAAATACTATCCCTCTATCGATAACTTTTCTCTACAAATATTTTTTATCTATAACATATCTTAAAGAAACGTATAATCGATAATTATACATAACACATTGTTTCAAAGAAAACTTATTATCGATAATTATCGACAATATTTTTATTGGTAATTTTTAATAATCGATCATTTCTCTACAGAAAATTTGTTATCGATAACACACATTTTTTCAAAAAACGTATAATCGATAATTATTGATATCACATTTTTTTCAAAAAACCTATAATCGATAATTATCGATAACACATTGTTTCAAAAAACGTATAATCGATATTTATCGACAAGTTTTTTATTGGTAATTTTTAATAATCGATAATTTCTCTACAGAAAATTTTTTATCGATAACACATTGTTTCAAAAAATGTATAATCGATAATTATCGATAAGAATTTTTATCAAAAAAACGTATAATCGATAATTATTGATAACACATTGTTTCCAAAAACGTATAATCAATAATTATCGATGACACAAACGTATAATCGATAATTATCGAAAAATTTTTTAATATTAATTCTAAATAATCGACAATTTCTTTACAGAAAATTTGTTACGATAACATATCTATTCAAAAAACGTTTAATCGATAATTATCGATAACACATCTTAGTAAAAACCGTGTAATCGATAATTATCGATAACACATCTTCGCAAAAAACGTGTAATCGATAATTATCGAAAATGTTTTTAATTTTAAATAATCGATAATTATCGACCTTATTTTCCATAAATAAAATTAATATCCATCATCTCCAAATAAAAATATTATCCATATATCGATACATTTTTGTATAAAAAAAATTAATATCGATAAATTCTTTCTACAGAAAATTTTTTATATAACATATCATTTAAAAAAACGTATAATCGATAATTATCGAAAACTTTTTTTATTATTTTTTTATTTTTTTTTAATTTCTTGCAATGAATATCCCTTTTCATCTAATTTCGATTCCTAACCGGCTGCTGCATGATATTCAATATTATTCTGAATACATTTTTGCTGATTAAACTGTCAAGCATTTGAAAATTGCAAATGCCACCAAAAAAAAAACGTCATAAATTATCACCATCAAAACCGGAATTTGTCAAAATCGAAAAAAAAATTTGCATAAATTTTGAACCCATTTTTGGCAAATATATTCACGTTTTTTTTCAGACGAAGCGCTATACAACAAATTAACCAAAATCTATTCAATTTATTCATATGAAGTTATTGTCTATATTTGAATTTGAAATGAATCACACCGATGAAAAGGGAGATGGTTTCTCAGCAGAAATTCCGGTTAATTTTTTTATTTATTTTTTTTTTTTTGTTATTTTTTTGACTAATAAAAATAAAACCGTTGCACATCTTTTTGAATTTCAAAATAATTTGAAATCTAGTGTTCTAGATTAGAATAGAAAACGCTTTGAATTTTTTTAATTATTTTTTGAAAAATTTTTATTTTTTAATTTAAAGATAATATTTCTTTGAATTTTTCATTAATTTTAAAGTATGCGAAAAGTACTAAATTTGGTACAGTTTCGTAGAATGTGAATGGATAGAGCTAAAAACTTGAAATTTGGTCGATATATGAAGATGGCTTTGAAAGCGTGTACTCATGTGTACGAAAAGTACTACCTGGTCCTATATTTGGTACAAATTTAAATTGGAGATACAAATCGAACTGAAATTCTGAAATTTGAAATAAAAAAATGTAGTTTAGAAATTTTTTACTTATGTGTACGAAAAGTACGAAATTGGTACAATTTGAATTTTAGGTGAACCAATTGAGCGGGAACAATAAAATTTGGAGTCGGGATTACTGTAGGGGGGGAGTAGGATTGGGGTCAGGATTCAGTTTAAGAATTCAGGATTCATTTTAAGAAATTAATACTTATGGGGTACTAAATGGTACTATAATTGGTACAATTTGAATTGCGGGTGAACCGATCGAGTTGGAATCATGAAAATTGGATTAAGGATCACGGTTGAGGCGTAAGATTGAGATGAGATATGTAGGAAGTTTTAGAAATTTGTACTAATGCGTACTAAATTTGGTACAATTTAAATTGTGGGTGAACCGATAGCGTTGGAATCCTGAAACTTGGATTTAGGAAAGATCACTGTGGGTTTGGGTTAAGTAGAAAGTTTTGGAAATTCGTACTACTGTGTACTATATTTAGTACAATTTGAATTGTGAATGAACCAATAGAGTTGAAATTTGAATTTGGAATCATTCTGTCTGTACGTCTGTCCGTCCGTCCGTCTTTTGTAATCATGCTATCTTCTAAAGGAATTAAGATAGGGTGCTGAAATTTTGCATAGAGTCGTCTTTTGTCTGCAGGCAGATCAAGTTCAAAGATGGGCTATATCGGTGGTACACGTTTAGGCATAGCTCTTTTATAACGGTACCGCCCAATTTTCGGTATTTTGGGGTTCTTGAGCGTGTTTTTCAACCGAATTCGCTGAAATTCGGTACATTGTGTTCTTATTGGGTAGCAAATCGCTCCACTAAAAATTATAAATATGGGTCAATTTTTTCGGATAGCCCCCATATAAGGGTAACCCCAATTTTCGGTATTTTGAGGTTCTTGAGTGCGTTTTTCAATTGAATTCGCTGAAATTTGGTAAAATGAGTTCTTATTGAGTACAAAATTTCTACACTAAAAATTATAAATATAGGATAATTTTTTTCGGTTAGCCCCCATATAAGGACACTCCTAATTTTCGATATTTTGCGGTGCTTGAGCGCGTTTATCAACTGGATTCACTGAAATTTGGTACTTTGAGTTCTTATTGGGTAGCAAATCTCCCTACTGAAAATGTAAATATATATGTCAATTTTTTCGGATAACCCCCATATAAGGGTACCCCCAATTTTCGGTATTTTGGGGTTCTAGAGCGCGTTTTTCAACTGGATTCACTGAAATTTGGTACTTTGAGTTCTTTTTGGGTATCAAATCTCCCCTCCTGAAAATTATAAATATATGTCAATTTTTTCGGATAGCCCCCATATAACAGTACCGCCTAATTTTTGATATTTTGGGGTGCTTGAGCGCGTTTTTCAACCGAATTTGCTGAAATTTGGTACATTGGGTTCCTATTGGGTACCAAATGTATTCACTAAAAATTATAAATATCGATCCACTTTTTCGGGTAGCCCCATATTAGACACCCTCTATTTTCGGTATTTTGGGGTTCTTGAGCGCTTTTTCAAACGAATTCGATGAAATTTGGTACATTGGGTTGTTTTTGGGTACCAA